GTAGTTTGGTTTGGGGAAGAGAAGCAAAATTATGGAATTTGGAGTCAGTTATTCATCACTCTGATATGGAAAAGCAAAAAAATTTTGTATCCTCCAAATTTTGTTCAGGAGTCATCAGCGGGCTCTTTATTACGGTAATTTCATATTTTCTTTTAATTTCGCTTTGCTTCGTTCTGTTGACTAGTCAAACTGTTATAGCTTGTTTCTGAAACATAAAATATCATAAAAATTTGGGAATTGTTGGAAAAGTGTATGAGCTTTCATAGACCGTATAATTTTTTTTTAATTTTTGCTTTTTTGATTTGGAACTTTTTTACATTCAGAGAATTTTGTTGAGTTTCTGGAAAATGTTTTATTTACTTTTGGTTTTCTTTCCTTTTCTGGCAAAAGGATTTTCATATGCAGTACTAAAAAATGTCTTAATATTTTAATATTTTTTCTATCATTTTATCATCAAATCTTTGAATGAAAATTGAGTTTTTCATTTTTGGAGTGGGATATTGCTTGAGTTTTTTCCGCTGTGAGGAATGTTTAGTTGTTGTCATTCTCTGGAAATGATTTGATTGTGAAACTTGTCACTTTGTAACTTTTACTGTTCTTTGGTATATAGAGTAATTTGGCGCTTTAGACTTTCATATGAGGACACTAATAAGTGGGTCTCATTCTGTGCAGTGCTATTTATGCTTTGGTTCCATTGTAACACTGTCGGCTATATGGTGTTCTCTTTTTCTGCTGTTCATTGTGGGACTAATTTCCTGATTATCTGATTGCTATAGATAGTAGTAGTTGAATTTCATTCGCCAATTCGTTGAATATGCATTTTTTTAAATTTTATCCAATTTCTTGATTTTCTTTCAACTCTCTGTTTGTAGACTTCAGTTATGAGCTTATTTTAAGGTACGCTGATAAATGTGAAACAGTTGATTATTTTATGCATTACTGTCATTTTTTGCTGTTCTGGCTTTTGAAAACGGGAATTTTGGTTATAACAGATGTTTGATTTTGAAGGAGGATTGCTATTTGTTTGCACGAGTGTTTTATAGGAACTGTTGCTTTCAAATAGAAGATTAGGATAGGACTTATGGATCTGTTCATATGACAAACATCTTGTGATATTTGTGGAATTAGCTTTTGGAGTTCAGTCGTTATTGCCTACCAAATTTTCACGTATTCAGTCACATGATTTGGTTGTATAATTATTTGTGAACTGGGTGAGGAATAAAGAAAGTAATATTAGTGGGTTATTTTGTAGCATATGAATACTTATTCCAATTGACTCTGTGTCTGGTATTGAATGAACGGATTCGAAAAAAATGCTTGCAAAGTTTACCATTTATTCAGTACATTCATTGAATGTTCACTGCAGCAAACCAAGCAGAGTTGAGTTGGCAAGTTAAGTGGTATTTGTAGTTCAGCAGTGGAAAGGTAGGATGATTGTTTTAATGCTCTAATGGTTGTTAGGTGCGGCTGAAGCCCTCAAAAACTGATGATTACAGAAATTTGGATATACGGTTCGTGGTACGTACGAATTAAATGCAAGTCTTCCTGTTGTCCCATAGGTTTTTTTTTTTTTGTAGTTTGTGGTGCGGTGGAGTGGGTAATTATTTTTTGCTCTTAAAAAGTTTCGACAGGAATACTCACTCAATAACAAAGTCTCCAGTAATCAGTAGCATGCAGGACAGGCAGCGTCGGTTTGTATGGTTAGAGTTTGCCCCCACTCACGAACTTGCTGCTTGTGAAGAGAAAAAAGAAAACTGTCGTGCGAATTGCACAGTGAAATTGAACTTGGAATTGAAAGTAGATCAGTTTCGAAGCGTAATGGCAAATCAGCTATCCAAAGCACAGTCTGTCGTGCCGCTATTGCAGTCGGCAGTCATGACTGTTCGTTAGATTCTTGACTCAACTAGTGGTACTCGCCACGAATTATTATATTAGTTTCCAAATCAAGCTGTGAAGCTTCAGTGATACACTGTTTGCAGTATTTTCGCATTAATTATGGACCTCAGCTTCTGCATATAGAAAATTAATTCACTTAAAAGGATTGTCACTACTTATGCTGAGAAGAGACTGAGATTTCTGCACGTCTTGGTCTTTTACCAAGTAATAGTCGGATTGTTTATAATACCAAACTTGAGAAGTTTATAGCCTGGCTTGTTTTGTAACTGACAAATGAAGGAAAAAAAACAGTTACATATCAGAAGTTAAGAACTGGATTCTGGCGAAAAATGAAGAAAGTAAGACAGTACTGCTATGCAATACATTCGAATGAAAACCATCCCTTCAGACTGCTATTACCGCCTTGGCACTTACATTTTACTGACCTTTTAGGGAGGTCTGGCAGGAAGTTGAGCAGTCACCGAAGAAAAGGAATTTATGGTAAGCGCAACCATCAACAATTTCATTCCCTGTGCAAAAAACAAAGTCAGGAGGTTTTTTTTCTTTAGCAAAAATGAACTTTCTTATGTATTCGTTCCATATAATGTGAAAATTTTAAAATCTTTTTGGTTATAGAAAATAAAAAACAGAACGCCAAATTCGGACTCGCAGATTGTTTGAGACAACAAGCGAATTCTCTCTGTTGACTTTTCAGAATTGTTGCTGCCGCAGTATCGGCTTTACGGCTTTTCCGTTAGTCTCCAGAGTGTTGAACACGTCTTAAAATTCTTCGTAATCAGTAGTTTTGCTGTGTTGTCAGCCATATGCAAAAGGTAAGCAGGCCACTGTTTTAAAACCAGTAAAGTACCAAGTTTACCGACAGTGTTACGGCGGCCGGAACGTCGTCGCACATTTGTTGGAACCTGGGGACCCGGTTGTCGGGTGGAGAAAGGAATGCTTAGAGTGGCCAGTAATTGCGCTAGATCTGTTTTGGTGATTTTAACGGTTACGCGGATCCAAACGACTTAACATATTGATTTTTCGTTTTCACCTCTTCAGCATTGTCCGCTGTATAAAAATAAATATAAATATAAATATAAATATAAATATA